GAGAACTGAATTTGGAAGTGAAAGGCACTAGGAATACCTGGATAATTTTGTGTGGATAATCTGACGTGTAAGCTCGAAAGCTCTCCTAGAAATTTGCCCAGTAAATGCCAAAGTTTTAAATTGTTGGTCGTGATAACTTGTTGAGTTATAGGAGGCCGATTCATTATTCAGTTCAGTGAGCTAACACCCCGGACATCGTAAGTATGCTTTCAGATGTTTGAGCCATCATATTAGTATTAGCTCCTCTCATCCTGACACAGATTAATTGAAAGCTGCGCTGCTCCGCCAAGAGGCTTCTATATCACCAAGGCCATTGTCACCCTTTCTGAAAGTCACAACCCAGGCTGCCATGCCACAAGCATCTTTATGAACACTACAGGAAAGAATAGGCTTAAGATTAAGACAAGGAGCAGAGAAACAGCTCCTTACTACGATATCATTTAACAGGCTCCGGTGGCAATTATTGTCAGTAGCATTATTGCAGAGCTAATGAAGAATTCATTAAATAGCATTGAAAGACATCCCTGCCCAAAAAAGAAAGGCGCCGAGGGCTCGTATGGGGGTGGGGGTCCCTGTCTGTTGCTGTGGTAAAGTTTCCATCAAACGAAAAACACTATAGTTGATTTAATAGAGGGAAGGAGGCTCGCTGAGAAAGCTTGGAGGAGAGCATGGCACATACGCGATGAGGAATAATCACAGTGGCTATGGCAACTGAAGGTGAAATGTGTTATTTGCATCAGTTTATAATCTCTCCAGGATGCAATTTCCACGTTACTGCCATAGCGGAATGTGATCGATGTAATCACGGGCGACCTATCGTGCAACACGGAATCCGAGGAAGTTCCAAGAACAATTTCTTAAAGGCAATGAGAGGGGAAATACAAGAGTTAGATGCCTCTGGAACAAATTTCTAAAAAAGCATTCCACTCTGAAAGTACGGCACAGTATCTGGGGTGGGGGGATGAGCTAACCTAAATATATATGCAAGGGCTTATAAGCTCAGTGGTAGAGTAGAAGGTCCATGGGTTCAGTACCTGGCATGTCTAGTTGAACTGCGGAGGATCATGGGAGATCTGAGTGGAAATGTAGAGGTGTTAAAACACCTTTAAGCCTCCACGAGTTCAGTGAGAAAAAGTTCAGCAGAAGCTTAATTAACCAAGTTAGGTGGGATCAGATATGGTTTGGGTCTAACATAAGGCAGCAGTGATTAACTGGTTCCATTGTATTCTGTGGGAGATACTATAACTTGTATTCAGGGGGAAACTGAAAAAAACAGAAGCCAAAAAGTCATCCAAACTTTGGATTTTCCAAAGTTTTCTACAAGCCTAGGGAATTCCCAAGTGGGACACGGGTGGCGCTGTGGGTAAAAGCCTCAGTGCCTAGAACTTGCCGATCGAAAGGTCGGCGGTTCGAATCCCCGCGGCGGGGTGTGCTCCCGTTGTTCGGTCCCAGCGCCTGCCAACCTAGCAGTTCGAAAGCACTCCCGGGTGCAAGTAGATAAATAGGGACCGCTTACTAGCGGGAAGGTAAACGGCGTTTCCGTGTGCGTCTCTGGCTTGCTAGAGCAGCGATGTCACGCTGGCCACGTGACCTGGAAGTGTCTCCGGACAGCGCTGGCCCCCAGCCTCTTGAGTGAGATGGGCGCACAACCCTAGAGTCTGTCAAGACTAGCCCGTATGGGCAGGGGTACCTTTACCTTTACCTTTGTAGTGGTATAGTTGCATACCCTCCAACATTTCTCTGATGAAAATAGGATCGTCCTAAGGAAAAGGACTTGCCGATCGAAAGGTCGGCGGTTCGAATCCCCGTGGCGGGGTGCGCTCCCGTCGTTCGGTCCCAGCGCCTGCCAACCTAGCAGTTCGAAAGCACCTTCGGGTGCATGTAGATAAATAGGGACCGCTTACCAGCGGGAAGGTAAACGGCGTTCCGTGTGCTGCGCTGGCTCGCCAGATGCAGCTTGTCACGCTGGCCACGTGACCCAGAAGTGTCTCCGGACAGCGCTGGCCCCCAGCCTCTTGAGTGAGATGGGCGCACAACCCTAGAGTCTGTCAAGACTGGCCCGTACAGGCAGGGGTACCTTTACCTTTACCTTAGGGAATTCCCAAACTCTTTTCTGGTGCCAATGATCCTATTTTTATGCAAGTATATTTAGTAGTAAAAAGAACTAAGGTTTTTTTAAAAAAAACATCAACAACATCCTATATACTCAGATTTATCTCTGTTCAGAATGTTTTTGAACGTTTCCTGAAAGGCCTTCAAATCTCTTTAAAGCAAAATGTCTTGTGCTAAATGGTAAGTGCATTAACCATAAAGAAGAGTCTTATGTTCTAGGATAAATATGGTTGGGAATCATATTTCCCCATTCATTGCAGTGGCTCTTGATTTACTATAAAGGGAAATTTTAGACATTAAGACTATTTAAAAGTTCCCCAAAGTAATTCCCTAGCCTCTAGTATTTCACAACAGAGAGATCTCGTTTCTGTCATAATAAAAAAAATGCACCAACAACTTTTTCACAGTGTAAAAGATGAGGGGGGTTTTATACAAAAGCAGATATTTATTGTCCCTTTTGTTTAACTTGCATGCACGAAAGCACAAGCCACAATTTCCCATTTTTTAACAACTCAAATAAAAACGCAGCAAACCACATTATATATATATTTTAAAAAATCTGAACTGTAGGGGATTTGGAGTACCACACAAATTTACTAACAGCATTTTTAGTTGCATTTATTGCATTTTGAAAATTAAAAAAGAAGATTCAATTTTTTAACGGGGGGGGGGGGAATACTGGGGAAATCCCCGTCTAGGAACACTTGTAGCTTCCTACCAGGTTCAACTAGTAAAAGAGGCTTCTAGCCACTGAGGTTATCTGGACCTCCACTGAGAAAAGGGGGGTCCAGAAGACTGTGTACCAATCCCATTCAGGGCCAGCAATTGTCAATTTTTTTTGATACAGAAACCACTCTCCCCACAGTGCTTCCATCTTGCCAGGATTCAAGCTAAGCTTATTTCCCCTCAAAGCATCCCAACCTGGCACTAGTCCAGGGCCCAGGCAGCTTCTCCTCACTCAGATATAATGGAGAAATGGAGCTAAACATCATCGATGTACGAGTAGCACCTTGCCCCAGATCTCCTACTGGCTCTTTCTAGCAGCTTCATATAGATATTAAAAGGTAAAGGTAAAGGTACCCCTGCCCGTACGGGCCAGTCTTGACAGACTCTGGGGTTGTGCGCCCATCTCACTTAAGAGGCCAGGGGCCAGCGCTGTCCGGAGACACTTCCGGGTCACGTGGCCAGCGTGACAAAGCTGCATCTGGCGAGCCAGCGCAGCACACAGAAACGCCGTTTACCTTCCCGCCAGCAAGCAGTCCCTATTTATCTACTTGCACCCGGGGGTGCTTTCAAACTGCTAGGTTGGCAGGCACTGGGACCGAGCAACGGGAGCGCACCCCGCCGTGGGGATTCGAACCGCCGACCTTTCGATCGGCAAGCCCTAGGCGCTGAGGCTTTTACCCACCCGCGTCCCCCCATATAGATATTAAATAGCATTTAATAGTGGCCTGAGGTACCCCACAGCAGAACCATCAGAATCAAATGTAGCAAATGGTACTCCATTTCTTTATTTCAAACACTTTTGCCCCGCCATTCTTCAGTGAACGCAAGGCAGCAACTCACATACGTTAAAACAGGAACTGAGTTTGAGGGCCAGGTTTTGACCACAATAGAGTAAAGCAGCCATAAAGTACAAAAGTAGCAGAGAGAGAAAAGGTTTAAGTATAGCAAAGTTAAATACAAAAATATGAACCTTCGAAAACAACTGGCAAGAAACAATTAACAGGGGGCAACCATTTATTGTTCAAAAGGCTGCCAAGGAAGAAAGCTTTTGACCAGCCTAAAGCAGGTCCTTAGAGAGGAGGCAGGATGAAGCCTCCCTTACAGTGGCGTAGCGTGGGGGTGCAGGGGGGGCCGGGCGCACCGGGCGCAACATCTGGGGGTTAGGGTTAGGGGGCGCAAATCCAAGGGTTAGGGGGCGCAAATTACTTGCCTTGCCCCGGGTACTGACAACCCACGCTACGCCACTGCTCCCTTATATACCCTGCTTAGTGGTCTCTGTATTTTAATGCTATTGAAGCCCTTATCTGTACAGTTTGCACCAAGTTTTTTGGGAAGAACCTAGACCAAATACTTTGACCAGGCATTGCTTGTAACTAGGTATCATCAGTTCTCAGACTGCTGAACCATGTTCTTGTTGCTTCTTTTTATATTTATTCAGTGTTGATTATTTTAGTGTTTGTCACCTTGAACTCTGAGGAAAGGACAAATATAAATATATGCAATACAGGCAGCCCCCTATTTATGTGCGTACAATATGTGCATGACTACATGTGCATTGCACTGAACCCAGAAGTGACCCGGAAATGTCATAAAGCCGTCATTGAAACATCACTAAACGGGCAGAGTGGGGTGCTTGCAGGCTTTTTCAAAGGGTTTCAATTATACGCAATTTCCAATGCATACGATGCCTCGGAACGTAACCCCTGGGTAAGTGAGGGGCTGCCTGAACTTCAGAAGGCAGCTGATATTTTGTGTTATATGAGCCTACAATAAATGGTTCTTTTCATATGGTTCGGATGAATGTTAGGTCAGCCAATTACAGGGCGGATTGCCAAAACTAGTTGTAAGAGAAAGACATCGGTATGGATATTTGTGACCTGTTGCTGAAGATCTTAGATGGGCTACTATAATTGCTAGGCAATATTGAAAATATCAAAGTACCCAAGTGAACTGCATTGCTTTGCCATGTTAAGTTAATGATGCTTTATTTGCTTCCTTACAGTCGTGACCTGTTGATAATAGTTACCATTCATTTATCTCTGCACAAAACCTTAAAACACCTTCAACTGGTATCATTTAGCATTTCAAATGTTTTGCTGCTAGCATCAACATAAACCAGCCCCTGTCAAAAAAAATAATCATTTTCTGTTCATGTTTTTCAGAAATAGCACGTTGCCACAAGGAATGGCGACTACACAGGAGAAAGAACACCCCTCAAGACGTTAAAGCTTTTCTCCAAGCTCCATGAATGCATTCCAAGTTGCTTCTCTGCGTCGAACTTTACGGCTTGGAAAGTAACATGCTGCCCTTGTGGGAGATGCCAGAGGTAGCGAGGCTATTCATTTGTTCTGCTGAATAGGAGAGCTCCAGGAACAATGGCTTCAAAAGTCTCCTGTTTGTATGTCTTGACGGTCGTTTGCTGGGCAAGTGCTCTGTGGTACTTAAGTATAACACGACCCACTTCGTCCTACACAGTCCACAAAAGTTTCCGCACCATCTCAATAGCTAGAAAGAATGTCTCCTTCGGCAATATAAGGACTCGGCCAATCAATCCTCACTCGTTTGATTTCCTCATAAACGAGCCGGAGAAATGCGAAAAGAATGCCCCCTTCCTGGTCATTCTCATCAGCACCACACACAAAGAATTTGATGCCAGGCAAGCCATTCGGGAGACATGGGGAGACGAGAACAACTTCAAAGGTATTAAGATTTCCACTCTCTTTCTCCTGGGGAAAAACACAGACCCCGTGTTAAATCAGATGGTGGAGCAGGAAAGTCAAATCTTCCATGACATCATCGTGGAGGATTTCATTGACTCCTATCACAACCTGACTCTGAAGACGTTGATGGGTATGAGGTGGGTGGCGACATTTTGTTCGAAAGCCAAGTACATCATGAAAACGGACAGCGACATCTTCGTGAATATGGACAACCTCATTTACAAATTGCTAAAACCCAATACCAAGCCGAGGCGGAGGTACTTCACTGGCTACGTCATCAACGGAGGCCCAATAAGGGACGTCCGTAGCAAGTGGTACATGCCTAGGGACTTGTACCCTGACAGTAACTACCCGCCATTTTGCTCGGGCACTGGCTACATCTTTTCAGCGGATGTAGCGGAGATGATTTACAAAACCTCCCTCCACACAAGACTTCTTCATCTTGAAGACGTGTACGTGGGACTTTGCCTGCGGAAGCTGGGCATCCACCCTTTTCAAAACAGTGGCTTTAATCACTGGAAGATGGCCTACAGCCTATGTAGATACCGGCGCGTTATCACAGTGCATCAGATATCACCTGAGGAAATGCACAGAATTTGGAATGACATGTCAAGCAAGAAACACCTCAGGTGTTAGGACACTTTGCAGATGTAAATGCTTTTTGTAAAAAAAAAACACACAAAAAAATTAATTGAGTAGAGAGTAAATGGATGTCTTTTGATTGGAAAATGGGATGCTAACTTTCAGGAGGGGAAGATCTTCTGTATTTTTTGTTTTGTTTTTGTTCTTCTTCACGGCTTTGATTTCTGGTTTACAGACCACATAACGCAGTTGTCAAAAAAGGTAGGGTCACATCTGTCTTGGCCAGTCTCATAACTGCATAAAGGGGACAAATGACTGCTAGATGATGTATAATCTATTCCTATTACACCTCCAGAATAGGAACCCTCCTCTAAGGCAAGGCTAAGCAGTCTGAAAGATCAAGAATCCTAGCTCTTTCTTTCTTGAGCTCATGCTCACTGAGATGGATTTGAATGGGGAAAGCTAAGCAGTTTTATTATGGTCTTCTATTTCAAATTAGCCTCTCCTTCCCCTAAATACTAGTGGCCTCCTGATCTGAAGTAGAACATGGGGCAGTGGTTGGAAGAAGAAGAAAAATCAGGAGTCTCTCTCCATGCAAAGGATTCTTTAGAAGCAAGTGTTTAATCTCACCTACCTGGGAGTAAGCCTGACTGGATTCCACTGGACTTACTTCTGAGTAGACATGCATTGTTAGAGATTAAAACACAGACCCCAAAATGGGATGGTGCAGGGTTTTTATTTTTTTAAAAATCACTATGCACAATTTCTTCACCGAGATGCAACATAAGGCCTCAAAATACACTAACAATAATGATGATGATGATGATGATGTTAAAATACAGAACAAAAAGTGCGTGCCAAAATACATTACATTATATTCTTTACAAAAGGCAAATTTCTCCAGTATGTAAACTGCAAAAAAGGAACCTTTTAGAACTTTGCAGTTTTAATACAGATGGTGACATGCCCATTTATCAAAATAAGATTTTCCGTTTTATTATTATATTTGTAGACACAGAATTAAAGATCACATGATTATTAAGGATATGCAGTATTGTTAAATAAAACAAAATGTTAACTGGAAAACATCTGTAACTGCTGTGGGAGGGAAGCAAATCCTCAGCCGACACTTTCACTAGTTCAGTGTTAAAAACCGTTTGTTACGGCACTTTGCTTTTCGAAGAGCCTAAGTGCTTTTTCAATTATAAAAGGCTGCCCATAGGAATTATAGCACTGCATTCTGTAGATATAAGCATAATTAGTTTTTTCCCCATAATTAAAAGGCCTAAGAGCTACATAGAGAACCAATAGAAAGGGGAGGGCTTTCTGTTTATTACTCCCTGCATGCCTTTCCCAGTGACACTAGTAGTAATTAGATTTGAAGCCAGCACTTATCATCATTTGACAGACACATTGACAACTTCGTAATAATAAGCCACACACATCGCTAGGTCAATTAAAAGCAGCGATACCCAATATTAAAAAAAAAAGAGATTGCTGTTACAAAATCAAGCAGTGGACTCAACTCAAAATCTTTCCTAAATTTACCAGCAACTCAAGCTGGGTGGCAAGGAAAATGGGTTCCTCAAGGTGTCATTGGATACCAGCTCGTGGTTAAGGATGCCAAAACTTTCCCACTCCTGAACTAAAGCAACTTTGTGGACCATTCCCAGTATTTTTTATGGGCCATCTCATAACTATTTGATTTATTTTTTTCTGGACAGCAGAACCACAGGGCACTCTGGAAGGAGTAGTTCAGGAATAGCCAATGTGGTGCCCTTCAGCTGCTGTGGACCATAACTCCCATCATCCCTGACCATTGGGCCCTGCTGGCTGGCAACTGATGGGAGCTGGAGTCCACAACATCTGAAAGGCACCAGTTTAGTACCCCTGGAATGGGCGATAATGCCTTTCCACTTAGAAGAGTGGCAGATAAATCCTCAGCTTGTTTTGCTCTGCATACACAACACATAGTTTGAATGGAATATTGTTAGCAACCTCCTTTCCCCGCCCCCTTGCGGCTTCCTATGTGCCACAAGTGAATTCAGAAGTTACGATTGAGCAGGGGCAGGGTTCGTTAAAACACTAATGAGCATGTTCTCCTTTAGTTGAGGGGATTGGAACGTTTTTGATGCATATTTAATAGTCTGGACTTCAGAGATATTTTCTGAAATAAAGGGTGGAAGAAAAATATTACAAAGCCTCCTACACAGAACAGGTTCCATTTCATTTCTTTCTTTCTTTTTTACTAAAGAATGTGTTTATGCTGGAAAAACTACTCTAAGATTTAGAGCAAATCTATTACAGATGCTCAGTCATTTCCCTTCTTTTCTTGAACGCTAGTGTCATTTGTGTGATGCCACAGAGTACAGCAGTTCTGTCAAGAGATTCCAGCCCAACCCCACATACCTGCTTCCTTAGCCCAATCAGAGAGAAAAGTTTCATATCCATCTAATTCATGCTGGTGATAATCCACATTAAAAAAATATAACAGCACAGAACACCTGCTATGCAAATCAGGAATTTTGAAAATAGCAGCAATGAAAAATAAGCCCACTTCTGATCACACGTAACTTTATTAAATTTTAAAAAATAATTTGGGGAATAAATCTGAATTTTAAAACTGCTGAACAAACAGCAAATAAAAGCAGGCCAAGTAATTAACAATTTCCATTTAACTTAGATGGCGTTACTAGCAAAGAGAATATGTGCAGGCAATGGACAGAGCACATCTCAGCATATCAATAGATTTTAAATTCTAAATATCTAATATCAAAGATGTAAAGGTGTTTTGTTCTAATATAACATGGTAGCTGTGCATGTCAGTTTGGTAGAGACTTCCCATATCAGTCCTAGAAAATGCAAGCAAGTCTACACATGCTTGTTGACTGCTTGGTGGACATCGGCTGGACACATCAAAAAAATTGTTTCAGAAAAATGCATTGTACACTTCAAAGGGGGAAATCGCATTGGCGATAGATGAAACTCCACAGTGCCATCTGGTGTCACAGTGTTATAACACACAAGGCGCTTTTTCTTTACTTGTGTAGCTGAGTAACTGGCAGAAGCTAGTCATCACTTAGGCTGCAACCTTATATACAGTTGCCTGGGAGTAGGTCCCATTGAACTCAGATGGGGCTTTCTTCAGAATTGATATGCTCAAAGCAATGCATCTGGATTTTGCTGCAGCCAACAAGCTCAGGACTAGTTGGGCATCCGAGAAACATGGGAGGGAGACAGCATTTAGGAGGTGCATAGGCTTGCTCACTCAGTGTTTCCATCCCACATGCATCACCTCAACTTTCCCACATTGAGTGGGCAAATAAATGCTTAGAAATCTCCACTTGATAGGGAATCTGAACAATGCAGGATTTCTCATCATGCAGATATTTCTAAGCATGCTCAGCTGAATGTACTTGCAAGTCTCGTTCTGAACTTCACACTCAATGTGCAAAGGTTTCCTGTGGGGATGAGGACATTAAGGGCAGGGATTGTGCCTGTGTCCACTTTAATTCATTCATGGTGAATGCTTGAAAAGGGCTTCTCTTTAACTTGCCCCCAAATGACTGCAATAGCAAATGATAGCTCAATGTGTGAAATGCCTATTGTATGTCACAGGTCAAACATTGCAGAGAAGAAGTTTTTATATCAGACACTTGATATGTGTTCACATGATGCATACATCAGCTTTAGGATGTAGTAGGGAAAGTAGCATTTTCACTAGAAAATTTCACTAGACCAGCATCATCCGATGAAAGCTGTTCTCTAGCCAGGAAGAGAGACATTCAGATACATTTTTATCATACTTACAGGACAAAGACACCAGTGTAAAATCTGTTCTATCTTTTAAGATAGTTTGACTTATTTTAGAAAGTATGTTTTAAGTATGCAGCATGCATTTAATGTACTGTGCAAATAATCTGTAAGAACTGATACCTTTGCTCAATATTTTGTAAAGGAACTACTGGATGTCGGTGTGCCTACTGGTTGTGTAACACAACCCAAACTAGGATAAAAAATAGTGACAGTGATGGTGAGCGTTAGTTATAAGCAATGACCAGTTGCACTGATGCCCAAGAATGTCTCAGGAAAGAAGTGGAACTCATTACAGATCACAAAGAAGTTACGGCTTCAATAAATCACTTCATCTTTGGGTACTTCGGGTAGATTGACTAACATTTTACTACCAACATGCTGGAAGGCATTCTGTAGTGGCTGTTAAAGAGTTCCTGTATTTTGGCTTGATTAACAGCTTATGCAGAACCCCAGCATTTTTCTGACACTTCTTATTCATTTTCTTATATGAGAGCTGCTTTCTCATTAGCACACAGGCACTAAGTGGTGGCCAGCAATTTGCAATCCAGCATTACACAGGACTGAAAACTCACAGTGACTGAGATGTTACTGAACCTGTGCCTGAGACATTCTTGGACCGTAATGTCAACAAAACATTCACTGTGAGATGTGACGCAGTGTTGTCACATGGTGAGTTAAAACTCACCATATGACAACAATGTCACATGGAGAATGTTTGCAGATATTAAAGTGCACAGATGGAAACTCATCATTCGGAAATAGCAGGGGATGTATAGACTGAGTAACATATAAACCGGTTCCCTGCTGGTCTGTGGCCATATCATGAATCCCTCCAGTAACAAACTCAGTACGTTTCAACAGAATTGGTGGCAAAACTGAGAAATAAGGAGGAGGTATCATATCTCAAGGAACTCTCAAGCTTTAAAAAATATTTAAGACACCCACAAACAGGGCAAAAAAAGGGAGTCCAGTGGCCACAGTAGCCACAGATGATTGAATGTCTGTTGGCAAGAAAAATGGAAAACCAGGGGCATGGAGAGACGAATGAAATGCTCAGCTTGAGGGAATGGCTGGATGAAACCCTCCACAGGAGTGCTTTCATTAGGAGGAAGGACAAACTGCACATTTCACATCATAGGATCCTACATTACATTCTTAGAGAAGCTGGCAGGCTCTATAAAATATCTAAGTATGTTGGCTTGAATTATTCTTGGAATATAGATGAGAGATATGGTTTCAATGCAGTATTGAATCACAATTAGCAATACATCAAGATGTAATCAGTGTTTTAAAAGAGTACAAGGCAATCTAAGTTCAAATCCAGCAGCTATTTAAAGAAAAAAATCTAAAAATGGCAAGATTACTATGGGAAAAGCACATTTTCAACAGTGAAGAAATAAGATCTTCCTAAGTCAAGAGATTTTGAAATTTCCCTCAGTGTTGCATTTATGCTTAGCATTCTCTCCTCTCTCACTCTTTTTTTTTTCTTTGACAGATTTGTAAATATTCATCACGGAAAGTGTTGTATATATTTTAAATCAATTTATTCTCTTTCCCACTGCATATATCTGTAGAGTCAGCTTGCAATGTAACATTTTGTTCTGCATGGAGCTGCGACAGGCTTTTTATCTCTTAGTGTTTCAAAAGCCTTAAGCATGAGTGCCCTGATTTTTGAATGTACAAGAAGTTTTTAAAAATAACTGGTTTTTTATACTTTTCTTAATTATTTTGAGCAAATTTGGGAGGGGGTTAAATCAGCAAAGGGAGACCAATTTTGGAACCTGAAACCTGCATACAAGTTCTTTTACTTGGAAGTATTTGGTCACAGAGAGATTGTAAAGAACCAACAACTACTGGGTTTTTTTAAAAAAAAATCTTTGAGGAAAATAAGTGCTTATGTTACTTTTGAACAAACCACTTTTTTTTTTTTTACAATTGCAACCAACATCCGAATCAAAGTCATGTTTGATTTTTGTTGAAATTTGAATGGACAAAGCACATGTTGCCAATAAGCTTTCAGAAGTCTTATCTTCTGAAGAACTATATAATAATAGATTTCCTTAGTGGGCGACTTTGGAGGATTCCAGAGTCATTAAGATTTGGTGGATTAGATGACCCCTTATTGGGATTAAACCTTTATAGAGTCATGTAGAGAAGTACAATTTAGGAAGGAAAAAAGGTAATGAACTAAGAAAACTTGTTGACATTATCTGAAGTTTAAACGTACCATTATATACAGATGGCTGTATTTATGTATTTATTTGTCAAAACTGTATATATTGTTTTATCTAGTGTAATTGTCTAAAAGTGCATTTCTTCTAGTTGAAAAGTATTATCTAGGGGGTTGTGGGGGTGCCAGCCAAGCTGCTAATCAAGTTTTTATAAACATATATATAAATGTTCAAAAAAAGATGAAGGGGGAAAATGAAAGTGTCCTGTACAGTTTTCTTTTTTTGTCATTCCTTACTGAAATGTAAACTAGACTCAGACAGCACGAAGCCAAGCTATAGCCACATCTGAGGAGGACAGAGTGTTGTTTTGCTGATTGTTTTTAAAAATTGCAGGGGGGGTGTGAGGAAATAAATTAAGGAAAAATAAAGTTGTATCAAGTCGTCATTTCTACAATGCTTTCCTCAAACATGTTGTTTCACGTTTCTTGAATAAGTTATGTATCCTATGGAACTGTAGCTAGATATATTGCAAGCATACAGATAAGACTCCTAGTAGTAAGCCATGCTAAATTCGGGTCAAAATCAGTTCAATTACAGGGTTAACACTTCTCATAGTAACTTAGCAGGTCTCTTCAAGAGTGAAATCTGCTCTTTAGGAAGCTGAAATATATTGACTCACAGTACGAATAGGATGCCAGGGCAAAAGAGACGCATGAAGAGATAGGTCAGGATTTGACCAAGACTCAAACACTATCCATTGGTCATGCTTCCACAGCTGCACAATATGAAGCAAGTTTACATGAATGGGAGACAAGTTCATCATAAGAAGGGAGGACGTCGTAAGAGCATCTTATCTAGCTGCTCTGACTCTTCTTCTTTGGAGAATTTCCTGTTGGAGCTGGGAGTAGCATAGCCCTGTACTATGTTAGCTCACCCTCAAACAAGTGAGGGGAAGAAGAGTTTGGATTTGGATTTGATATCCTGCTTTATCACTACCCGAAGGAGTCTCAAAGCGGCTAACATTCTCCTTTCCCTTCCTCCCCCACAACAAACACTTTGTGAGGTGAGTGGGGCTGAGAAACTTCAAAGAAGTGTGACTAGCCCAAGGTCACCCAGCAGCTGCATGTGGAGGAGCGGAGACGCGAACCCGGTTCACCAGATTACAAGTCCACCACTCTTAACCACTACACCACACAGGTTCTACTTGCTGGTTATACCTTGCCCCTTCTGTTTCAGCCCCATCACCTGGCCCTCACCATCTTGCATGCATTGGAGGGGAAAGGTGTGAGACGGAGAGCCTGCTCCACATGTGTGGGGTCCCTGCACTGTCAGAGCTTTGAATTGCAAGAGGAGTCAACATACTTAAAGCAGGCTCTCTGTCTCAGACCTTCTTCCTCCAATGCATTAATCCCAAACTGTGGCCCATGAGCTTCATTCAGGTGTTCTGCAGGGTGTCTGTGGATTTGTGGTTAAAGGTGGGAGATGGCACATCCATTGCACTGAATATGTATATTGAATTTCAATTCTATTTTATTACTCCTTTCAATTCCTGTTCTGCTCTTTATTGTTTTACATTTTATATTCTATGAAATTAGAATTTCTGCAACAGGCAGAAAAAGTGTTAAGTGATCCACCAAGATCTACAGCAATCTTCAAGTGGTCCATGTGGGGTGTGGGGTGGGGGGAGTTTGGGAACCACTGGTATAGATGACAGGGGGGAGACACAATGTTGGGGGCAGGGCCAGCCAATCTGGCCCGACTCTTCCCTTTGCACCATGATAACTGCATTGAGAGCAGGGGGTAAATGTGCTAACCTGCACATTTTGTGTATGGGATATTCTGTATGAGGTTGAACAGAATAAAATACTTCATCAATATGGATATCTGCCCCCATCAACAGTACTTTATCTTTGTTTGGTCTCATTTTGTGGACAAGAAGTATTTCTATACCTACTCCTTTTGTTTCATTCTGGTCTGCTCCCATTGGCTCAAGAGAAAAAATGGAAGACAAACCAAGGAGCGGTATTCTTTTCCCATCAACAAAACACTATCTCCTCTGGTATACCACTGCATTTTAAGTATCCACAAGTCTCTGTTTCCTCACACAGTGGCATAATTGCTGCAGGTAAACAAAAGAAGTGCACATATAGCTTTGATCAGAACTTCCTGACATCCTCAGCCTCCCATTGCTTGCAAGCTCAACAGCAACCACAAAAGGCCTGCCATTTATAAACATCCCATATAAATCCTTCATTGGTATTCATTCATTGACTTTCATTTATTCATTCATCATCCACACAATGAGTATTCCAGCGCTTCCCATATCAGGACAACCAGGATGTCAGAACTGCTGTCAAGGGAGTGGGACCTCATTCAAAACAGCAATATTCTGCAGGACGGGGTGAATTTATGCCACATATAAGTTTGGTGATATATGTATAAGTTTGGTGATATATGTATAAGTTTGGTGATATATGATCTGATCAGTTGCATAAAACCATTCTAAAACTTCCATACTTCTTGACAAACCTTCAATGTCAAGATTTATCCCAAATTTCACCCCTGTACTGATTTCCTGTCATCATTTTTGCCCTAATATAGCAAAGCTTTGATAGCTCTAGGTAACACCTACTGAGGCAAGAAAATAGATTAGGTGTTACAGTACAGCAGCATCTCTTGCACCATATATTTGATCACAGTGGTGCAAAACTGATGTTTCTTCACTCCTGTTAGTTACATGACACATACAGTCACTGTACACTTGGACACTGAAACTCTAGCATTGCACCTTCCAGTCTGAGCGGCACACTGCCTTTTGACACTCGCTCCATGGATCACCTATTTCTAACCCACTCAGCAGAACTCATTACCCAAGTGGCATCCCTGGTCTCATGATAATCTCTTCCCATGAACTTTAGACCTGGAGAAAAGTAATCCACATTTCCTTTGGTCAGCATCTTTTGAATTATTTTCTTCTTTTTATTTCATAAGAGAAACCAAAAAGATCCATCTTCCTTCATTTTTTTTCTCATCTTTTTCTTTTTTCTCCAGTAATAAACTCACTGCTTGAGGGGCTTCTTTTAACAATGGACAATGCAATTGCTTCATATTTAAATAACTGTTTAGGCTGTTAAGGCTTCCTGTTTACCCCTTTATTGCTCCGCCTGCTGGCTACCTGCAGATCTTTGTTAGAATTTGGAGCTTGCTGTACCCATTAAATATACTCTGCTGATCACTATGTTTATCTTACATGTTTCTTTTACATGTGGTTCTGGAGTAGCCACCAGGACCCTATAACACAGGTCCTAAAGGATCTTCACTGACTCACAGTATGTTTCCAAGCACAATTCAAAGTGTTGGCGCTGATCTTTAAAGCCTTAAATGGCCTTGGCCCAGTATACCTGAAGGAGCATCTCCACCCCCATCATTCTGCCTGGACGCTGAGGTCCAGCTCCAAGGGCCTTCTGGCGGTTCCCTCCGTGAGAAGTGAAGTTACAGGGAACCAGGCAGAGGGCCTTCTTGGCAGTGGTGCCCTCTCTGTGGAATGACCTCCCATCAGATGTCAAAGAGATAAAGAACTACACAACCTTTGGAAGACATCTGAAGGTAGCCCTGTATTGGGAAGTTTTTAATGTCTGACATTTTAATATATATTTTTTATATTTTGCTGGAAGCCGCCCAGAATAGCTGGGAAAACCCAGCCAGATGGTGGGGTATAAATAATAAAATTTATTATTATTCTTCCCTGTATTTTTTACAGTTATTCTGTATCTTAGTCCTCCTAAAGTGATGAATTTCTTCTGGCGCACTGGGAAGTTTCCAGTGCTGCAAAATACTCAAACAAATGTAGCTTCACCCATGCTCACTACCATATATATCCAGAGCCCTGTGATCCAATTACTTCATAGGAGAAGACATCTCTATGCAGCACAGACACATTTTTGTGAGTGCAAAGTTGCACCTTCCTTTGACATGGATGGAGATGCCATTGCAGGTTGGGGCAAGTACTGCCATGTTTTAGCATGATCAGATGCAGCAGAGAAATGGGCTCTTCCTTGGGATGAGCAGATTCAAAAGAGCAGAGATCATACACCATTCACACAAATCTCCTGTTGTATTTTATCACCGTATCAAGAGCAGATCAGAGCCTCTAGATCAACGAGGAGCTGCTGGGATTGTGCCACATATATAGGCTTCAAAACAGAATTGCAGATCAGAAACAGATGTTGGGCACATTCATTGCTCTTGCAGGAAGCTGACCTTAAGCAAAAAGCACATTAAATCATCCTGGCAACCGCTTAAAATGGACAAATAACCTTTGCAGATAAAGTCAGGGGCAGTGTGTCATGGGCTTTGAAGACACTCAAACTCAGGACGCAAGGGAGAAACGTGCTAAGAGGAAGGCATGCTTGGCAAATCCACACTGTCATCAACTCCCACCCAGAAACCAATGTCCTCATTGTGGAAGGATGTGTGGATCCAGAACTGGCCTCCACAGTCACTTACAGACTCATTGTTAAAACCGTGTTTATATCTTACTCAGCTACAAGTGATCGCCAAAGAAGAAGTAGATGTGTTTTAGCAGCAGTTTTGTCTCCATGCCACAGATCTTGCATATTTTTTTCTCTCCCCCAAATTGCCTGTGAGTGACTGTAACTGTTATCCAGGGTTTAATTAATGTACAGCTTAAAGCTGCATGGCTATTAGTATTAGGAGGGTGGGTTTTTCCTGAGCTTGATTATCTTAATTACAAGCACTCTATTTTCTCATTTGGTTAATTGTCATAGATCTCCCAATGTATCCACAGTACTTCACAAGAAGCCAATATATTTCTTAAAAGTACTGAAACGAGGCCTCTCAGGAGAGTATGTCTGCCTCGAAAGAATATGCATGCAATGGAAAACTTTGCCCTGAACAATACCTGCCAACCTTTGGACTTAAAAATAGACATTTGTGAAATTGAAGAAAAGACTACTCAGAAAGGTGGTGGAGGCAGTCGGCATAGCTGCCGCTTGAGCTTGTGCAGAAGGTTAAAAAACACATTTAGCTTCCTTACAACAAAAAGTCTGTTTATTCGATATTATACCAGCTATGTAACTGCCATGCTGCTTGCAGTGACCTGAGCCTTCCTGTAGCTCACTGGATTGTTTTAAAAGAGGATTAGGCCAGGGGTCAGCAAACTTTTTCAGCAGGGGGCCGGTCCACTGTCCCTCAGACCTTGGGGGGGCAGACTATATTTTGGGGGGGGGGGAATGAACGAATTCCTATGCCCCACAAATAACCCAGAGATGCATTTTAAAGAAAAAGACACATTCTACTCATGTAAAAACATGCTGATTCCCGGACCGTCCATGGGCCGGACTGAGAAGGCAATTGGGCCGCATCCGGCCCCCGGGCCTTAGTTTGCCTACCCATGGATTAGGCTATC